GTTACTTTTGCAATTGGCCAAAATAAGTTTTTTGTAATGTTGACCTACAAGTACGTCAACGTCTTTACCTTTGAAACCAAAAACAAAAAAAATTGGTAGACTTACTAAGAAATCTACATAAAAGAGATTAGATTTGCATTTGACCAAAATTTTGACTTACCATAGTAGACTTTCTTGGAAGTCTACACTTTGTAGACTGCTAGGGAAGTCTAAGGAAGGTCAGTTTTGCATTTGACCAAAACTTTGACTTCGTTGAATAGGTTTCTTTTGTATTTGACTAAAATATTTAGAAACTGACTAAAACTTACTTTATGTGTAGACTTCATATGCAGTGTACAAATCTTAGGGAAAAAAAAGTAGACTGCATATGAAGTCTACTATTTTATGTTGGTCAATTGCAAAACTAACATGTCGGGTTATAGTATAGACTTTTACTGCAGTCTACAGTTACGTAGACATTTAGTTTTATCTACTAGTAGATAGTCAACTTTGGTCAATTGCAAAACTAACCTCTTTCAAACAAATTTAAAAATGTAGACTGCATAGTAAGTCTACTTCTAAAAGTCAAACTCTGAACAAATTCTGGTCAATTGCAAAACTAACCTTTTTAAAAATGTAGACTAAAAAATAAGTCTACTCGTACAAAATCATATCTTTTTTTTCAAATACAGAAAGTAACCCGTGAATTTGGCAATTGCAAAAACCAACCTAAACGTAAACCTAATTTGCTGTCTACAAAATGTAAACTGAATAAAACGTCTACCCGTCCGTAGACTGAATATGTAGTTTACCTAGAAAAATCTATCAAAAGTGGATTTGTGTATTATTCATTAAGTCTTTTCAAAAAACAAATTTATGAAAGTGTGTGTTAGTTAATCATAAGGGTCTTGAATGATTTGCAGAAGATAATTTGATATAATTAGGAAGTTATCAAATTTTTTGTTTGTCTATGTTGTTAGCTTAAAATTTGTAGACGTACTTGTAAGTCTATGATATAATTTTGGTTTAACTATATTGTTTGCTAATAATTGTAGATGTACTTGTAAATCTATTTTATAATTTTATCAAACATGAAATTTTTGTTTGCTAATTATGTAAACCATATTTTTTTGCAGGAGATGGCTCAATTACTCGTTGTATACAGAGAATGTGTGGTGAAAAAATCTAGATGTGTTGTGTCGAACTTATGAGTTGTCTTATTGCTATGGATGTTCTATTATGTATTAGTGTCTCATTTCTTTGAGTTGTCTTCTATTGGATTTGTAGGTCTTTAGTATGTGTTGAACTTATAAACTATATTGTTTCTTTGAATGTTGTCTAATGTGATAAACTTATGCTATATTTTTCTCTGATAAGTAGACTTCTTTGTAAGTCTACAAAAAAGAAGACTAATAAATTTTATTTATAAATTAAAATTAGTTTACAAAACTAAACCAATAATTAGAAACTAAAGTCAAACCACCACAATTTCCCCAACTTGGTTTACACCAAACCAAATCTTTAAAAAATTCTAAACCTAAAAAAATTGAAGACCCCAGCAGCTTCATCTTCTTCTTTCACCGTAAACTTCTTCAACAACTCAAGGTCTTCTTCCACTCTTTATATCCATCAACGAATAATGGAGGTTAATCTACAGAAAACAAAACAAAAGAAGTCAGATTCAACAAAACAAAACAAAAGAAGTCAGATTCAACAAAACAAATCAGAATAATATGGGGAAAAAACGACCATAACTAAACTAAGAGTATGGTACACATGACTTGACAGTGATTAATGGGCACTACACATCTGATTTCAGTGACATTAGTTAAGATTAGAAGCTATGAGTAAAACATGAAACTCACATACAATTTTCTCAGTTAAAGTTCAAATCTTTTTAGTAATCAAAAAACACATCCTAACCACTCTTACAAATTATTCAACTTCAGAGAGTGAGGAGACAGAGAGGTGACCAGTGGTGATTATGACGAGACTGACGGTGGTGGTGGCGACTCTGTGAGGATGGATCTGAGATACTTTTGCTCTTTAAAGAATCCATTACATGCATCCAAGAAGTGATGTTAAATGCTTTATCCTAGAAAAAAAAACCAGAAAGTGTGTCAATTTTTTTTAAAAGGGGAACTGAATTACTCGTGCGTATTCTCAAGATGTGCAACACTATCACCAGTCTCCACATCGGTGGCTAGAATAGAGCAATCAGCTGAAGCTGTAACCATTCCTAAAACCCATTAAAAACACAATGTAAGAAACAAACTTTAAAGTTGTTCTAAGCTAAAGGAATGAACTTTTGTCATCATCAATGAACCAAACAACTCTTCAAGATTCCATATGGACCCTAACATCAGACATCAACAATCTTTAACCCACAACAAAAAGAGACAAACTTTAGAGATCTTTTATACCTGGCATGTGAATACTTTGTGTTGTAATGGTATCTCTAAACAATAAAGAAACAGAGTACGAGCCTAAAGATTTACTTGACTCCTGCTATTACCTTCAGCTAGACTTGACNAAGATTCCATATGGACCCTAACATCAGACATCAACAATCTTTAACCCACAACAAAAAGAGACAAACTTTAGAGATCTTTTATACCTGGCATGTGAATACTTTGTGTTGTAATGGTATCTCTAAACAATAAAGAAACAGAGTACGAGCCTAAAGATTTACTTGACTCCTGCTATTACCTTCAGCTAGACTTGACAGACGATAAACTGTTTGCAGAAACCAAGCAAACCTAAACAGATTAGCACAAGTCTATAAAGTGTCTACGAGGGAAGCTATCAAAACATCTAAAAACTAAGCCTTGTGAACCAGAAGTACGAAACAAGATAGAACCTACGACCAGAATAAGGAGTAAAACAAGCTTAAGCTAACCCAATGCATCCAACTATATAATAAAAAATCAGTGTTTCTCTATACAGAATCTAAGACAATGCATCCAAAAATATAATGAACAATCAATGTTTCTCTAAACAGAATCTGAAACTTAAAATAAACAATACCTTCAGCTAGACTGTATATTCAATCTAAATTAATGTAGACCTATAAGACAGTCTACAAATCCGTAGTCTGCAGTAAAAGTCTACAAATCGTAGTCTGCAGTAAAATTCTGGGAGCAACCTGCAACAAAAAGAGCCAGAGAAATCAATAAAACACAACACATACTTGTACACTACAAACATGTATTAACTCATAACACTTCATCAATTTTCGTCAACGACATATGCATTTCAATTTACAGCAAATAAATTGAACATATACAAACCCTAGAACGAAAATTGAACACTTTAATCAAAACAATTAGAGATGCAGAGACTTTTTATAAACACATATAGAGAGAGAGAGACAGGGAGGAGAGTAATGGTGATGACGAGGAGGAGACAAGGCGGAAAGTAATGGTGGAGATGAGGAGGAGACGAGGCGGAGAGTAATGGTGGTGACGAGGAGGAGATGAGGAGGAGACAAGGTGGAGATGGCTGAAGGATGGGAGAGGATAGTGGTGATGGTTGTGGTGGTGAATGATGATTCCGAGAGGAAGGTGATTGGGTGTGAAAACGGAGTCAAAGAGGGTTCACCGGAAATCAACCCCTAAACCGCCTCAGATCTAAACGGCGTGATTATGATTATTTTTACCAGAAAACCCTAAAAAAGTATTTATATGCTGTGTAATTTTTTGGTTAGGTTAAATTGGTTAATGTAGACTCAAAATAGATGTCTACATATAAGTAGACTTTACTATAAGTCTACTATACCCAAAATATTGGCGCCAATATAGAAAAATAGGCTCCAAAATTGATTTTCACTTCTCGCTTAGTTAATTTTAATTTTAATATAATTTATTTTGGTAAACACAAATTAACGTAGACGGAAATAGACGTCTACATATAAGTAGACTTTACTGTAAATCTACTATACCCTAAATATTCGCGCCAATATGGAAAAATAGGCTCCAAAATTCATTTTCACTTCCCGCTTAGTTAATTTTAATTTTGAAAATAATTTATTTTGGTAAACACAAATTAACGTAGACTGAAATAGACGTCTACATATAAGTAGACTTAACTGTAAGTCTACTATACCCTAAACAAGAAATATCAAACCCTAAACCCCAAATCTCAAATCATAAACGTTTGATTGATTATAAAAAAAATCTTAGTCATTGTACCAAATATCATATATACAAAATACAAACTACTCAACATTAAATATGCAATTTTGAATCATTAAAACAAAATAATTCTAAATCTAGAATGTAACCCTAAGAATCTAACTCTAAGAGACATAACATGTTAGAACCTTTGGTTGCTAAACCATTAACATTGTCTACCACATAGTTCCCAAATCAATATACATTCTTTTAAATTGTTCAATTATAAGAAAATTTAATTTATATATCTCATACTAACCTTTAAATTGATGATTTATTTAAAAATTTACCAAAAACATTTTTTCTACATTTTTAAAATTAAATTATTTGATTAAATTAATATGTAGACTAAATAATAAGTCTACACTAGTCTACACAGTAGACGTTAATGTAAGTCTACCTAGTTGTAGACTTCTTTCTTAAAGTGTAGACCTACGAATGACAGAATCGTAAAATATATTCCACGTTTTTTGTTTGTTCATAAGGGTTAAATACTAGTTTTAACACCCATTTAGGTTGGGTTTACAATTGATTGAATATGGATTACACCTTTAGGGTTAAAATGAATATTTGGATTAGTTTTGACAATTCCCCCAAAGAACAATGGGGTAAAGAGTAAAAGAGTGTTAAAACGAGCAATTAGGCCAACGACGTAAGCGGAGTGGTAAAGCGTGACATAAGCGCCCTAAAAGTATTCCGTTATGTTAGTCACCAATCTTATAATCAAAAGTACAACCATAAAGATTCTTCGTTTCATTGTAAACTAGATTACATATTTCAAAACTTTCTTTCAAAAATCAATTCTTAATTATTGATCATCTGCTTCTATCTTGCCTAAACCAAAAAAAAATGAAAATTGTTCTTTGCCTAGTAATGTTCTTTCTTTTCATAAACGGTTTTGCAACCGCACAAAATCTCATTCAAGACTCTTGCAAGAAAGCTGCAGCTTCAAACCCGAAAATCAAACTCGACTTCTGCGTCAAGACCCTCGAAGGTAACCCACAGAGCAAAACAGCGAAAAGCCTCGTCGACTTGGTCATGGCCTCGACCAAGGACGTTGCCACCAAAACAACCAGCTTGGAAGCAACGGCTGACAAGATTCTCAAGGAGAAGAAGTTCGCAAAGGACAGTGAGATGCCGTTACGCGACTGCCTTGAGCTTTACACAGACGCTACTGCGTCATTGAATGAAGCTATGGCGAGCGTTAAATCGCGTAATTACAAAACCGCCAAGGTGGGTATGAGTGCTGCAATGGATGCACCGAGTACTTGTGAAACTGGTTTCAAAGAAAGAAAGACACCTCAGAAGTCTCCGTTTACGAAAGACAATGATGTTTTGTCTCAGACCCTTTCAGTTACTTTAGCTTTGACAACCATGTTGAAATGAAAATATACTGAAAATGTAATCTAACACATGGATTAAAGATAAATAATACTTGATAATTTACCTTAAGAGTAACCGTAGAAGCAATGATCATAGCCTCTAGCCTTTTAAAAGGCTTAATGAGAGAGTTATCTGCATAGTTTTAAGATCAAAAAAAGCCTTAGATAAACCAAAATCCTTCTGAAATTGAATTCCAGTTGTAAAATTGGTGCTTTTTCCAATAATATCCGGTATTTAAGTGCTCAATCCGGTTAAATAAATCCAAACAGAAAGAAAGCATAAACAATTTAATTTCTTTCAAAATCTTTTTAGTTATTTATATATGTAATCTTCTTCAAAAAATTTCAAGGCCTAAGACGAGCATTTTATTAGGTTGGCTCAGGGCTGGCCCTGATTCTCTCTAATCAACCTCTTCTGCTCTTCTAATGTTCTCGGCTCATCTAACGTTAAGTACTCCATCAGAAACTTCTCATGATCAGGCCTCTAGTTAGCCGGAAAAGGCGAGTAATCACTCTCCTGAACTAGAGACATTCTTATGTAAGCAAGCCCATCAATAGATTCAGATAGATCCATTCTCAACAGATTGTTATACACAGGTGACAAACCTTTCTTCTCCTTCAAAGGTCGGTCAGGTTCTCAGAAGCTCCCTTAGAAACTTTGGCACTTGCTCTTAGCTTATACTTGGCAGCATAAAGCTTAGCAAATGTTTGAACTGAGTTCGGTCGTGTATCAGTAAAGAGAGTGACATGACTCGTCAGTGGGTTATTTCAAAGGCGTTTTATGAGTGGAAGAGCAACTTTATTGATAAGAGAGTTGATGTACAAATAAGGAAGCAAACGAGGCGAGACGGCGTTGCTCGGAGAGCTTAGCCGTGAAAGTACAAGTCGGAGAGATACAAAGAGGTGAAAACCCTAATTCTAGCCGCCTTGTAAGTGAGTGCTCAATTTCGGATCCCCCTTATCGTTGTCTCCTCCTCTCCCCAAGTGGTTGAAGAAACATGTATTATAGCTTAAATTTTATGCATACATTACCACATAGTAAGTCTAATGTCTAGTTCTATTACTTTTTAGTAGGTTGATTATGACGATCCTGATTATCCCGCATGGTTTCGCTAATTACTTCAAGGTCCAGTTGCAAAGGTTTCTACATCAACGATGTATTTCACCCGAGGCTATACTTTTCATACCTATGACTATGGTAGACACCGGGCGACAAGTAATTGTGGAATATGTGTGAAAGGCGAAACAGATTTCTACGGGATCTTACAGGAGATTTATGAAGTTAAATTCCCAAGTATGAGTCTGAAATGCGTTATTTTCAAGTGCGAGTGGTACGACCCCATCGTCAACAGAGGTATTTGGATTAACAAGAACGGTGTAGTTGATGTCAATGGTGGACGAAGGTACAACAAATTCTTTTTTTGACATACATGTTCTGAGTACTAATTCCTACGTTGTCTTTATTTTTGCAGGTACAACAAATTCGAGTCTTTCATATCAGCTTCCCAAGCAGATCAAGTTTGCTTCATTCCATACCCTAGGATTACTACCTCGGGAATAAACTGGTTAGATGTTATCAAAGTTACACTTTGAGGACGAATAATCGCTGGAGAATAACCACCATTATAAGAAGAAAACACCAATCAAATCGAGGAATCTGAAGCATAAATTGATGACATCCTACTCATTGATCTGCATAATTGTGAATACGAAAATGTTCATGATCACTCAACGGACGAAGATGTCGAGGACGAGTTTTACGAAAATGATGATGTTTTTACAGATTCCGAGAATGTATCCGAATGAATTATGTATGTTTTATAAGTTTGTTTAATCACAAAAATGAATTTGAATTATGTATGTTTTAAGTTTGTTTAATCACAAAATGAATTTGAATTTGGGGTTTAGGTCTAGAAGAGGTTTGGAGTTTGGAGTTTGGTTGTAGAAGAGGTTATAAGTTAAGGAAGTTGTGGTTTGGTGTTTGGGGTTTCGAGTTTAGGGATTTACAAACCCTTTCCTCGTAAAACCCTAGTAAACGAAAACGCGGGACTCACGATTTCCTCGTAAAGTCCATGTAGGTTGTTTCCTCGTAAAGTCTACGTAACATGGTTACTAGGACTTTACGAGGAAACCTAAACGCGGACTCCCTATTTCCTCGTAAAGTCCTCGAAAAGGAAAACGCGGGACTCGCTATTTCCTCGTAAAATTACGAGGAGCTTACGAGGAAACAAACTTCCCTATATAAACTCGAGCCATCCGATTTCTCTCATTTGTAGCCATCTTCTCTCAAAATCCTCTGAAGGTACTCTCTAGTTCCTAATTAAGTGATTAGATTAGGGAATTTAGATTAGGTGGTTAGTTTAAGGAACTTAGATTAGGTGATTAAGTGTTTTTTTAAATGATACTAGTATATTTATGTTTTATTTTTATGTTTAAAATTTAGATGCCTAGACAGAGCAAGCTTAAGGGTAAGAAGACGAGGCCTCCTCCTGATGGGAGTCATTACGGAGATATGTTCGGTCATGCGCGTGGTCCCCATATAGGCGCATCATCTTCTTCAGCTCCCGGTTCTTCGATTCCGGAAGACGTTGTTCTCGACTCTCAGTTTTCTCAGAGAGTTTCTCCGGCTCCCCGGTTTGATCCACCACCTCCACCTCCTCCTCCTCCTCTTCCACCGGCCGCCGGGGTTCATCCCGATTTGGACGTGCCGCCAAACGCTCCATTAATGGTGTACACGGTCGAGGATATTATGGCAGCGCCAGGTAGAGAAGGGTTACCTGAGTTAGATCCTCTCAGACGGGACGGCCGCAACATATTTTGGTATGTTTCATTTTTTTTAAAGATTTTTAATTTATTTATTAATTAACCAAAAATTAACAAATGTAATTTATATTTTTGTTTTGTTTTTTCAGGTTTAATGTTGATGGATGTGTCGCTCAGAGCGTCACCGATTGTATCAAGGGATACTTTCCCGATCCAACTCCAAAATGGAAAAAGACTCCCAGCCACACCAAAAAGACGTGGTTCAAATCGTTCACCGTAAGTCATTAATTAATAAACTTAATTAATTTTTATTTATTTAAAAATTTTAATATTATTGAACTAATTAATCTAATATTTTTTTGTTACAGCAAAAATATCGTAGGTCTATAGGGATTCACCAGCGGGTGAAGACGGAGTTTGAGGCGAAGTGCAAAGCGCGATTGCTCGACATGGTCTACAACTGGAAGGGCGATTTTCAGGTGTGGATTTATAAATTTTATATAGTTTTATATCATTGACTTCAAATTACTTTAAAATTATTATTTTTTAGGTGGATGGTTACGAGGAGTGGAAACCTGATTGCCTCACATATGCGGTGTGGGATGGCTTCATAAGATATCGAGGGTTTTCGGACACGATCAGAACCTCCAACACAAACTCCGAGAACCGCATGACAAATGACGAGCATGGCAACACGAAGATGCTTCACACCGGGGGTCGAAAACCTCACGCGGGAATCCGTCTAGACATGGTAAATTAATATTTTAATAACTGATTAATATTTTTTAATCTATTATATATTCCTAATTAATAATTAATTTTAAAAATTATTTTTAGGCTAAAGAGACAGGAGTTCTTCCATCTCTGAAAGACCTTTACGAGAGGACCCACCAGAACAAGGATGGGCATTATGTAGATCCTAGATCCGAGCAAATCTACAACGAGCTTGTTGCTCGGGTTGACCGCCGCCAGACCCAGCTGACTCAGCAGTCCGGGACACCCATCATATTATCCACTCCTGAAGTGGATAAGATTTACGAGGAGGTAAATAATTTGTTTTCTTATTAATTTTTATTATTTATTTATTTTAATTTTTAACGTTATTAATTTTTTTATTTAAAGGTCGCCCCTAGGAAAAAGGAACGTATCGTCGGGATTGGTTTCGTTAACGATGTCTCCACAGCGACATCGTCTTATGCTCAGGAACAGCACGATGTCACTACTCAGCTGCGCTCGGAGTTGCAAGCGATACAATCTCATGTGAGTTCTCTCTCTGATATCCTGGACGTTTTGGCGGTTAAAAACCCACAATTGCCAGAGATGTTGCGTGTCAGACGGGAAAACGGAGGGCTTCCACCGTCACAGTCACAACCGACGACGACCAACATGGACGAGGAGGAGTTGGCGAGCCGGGATGGCGACTTCGTTCGTCAATTTTAGTTTTTTTTTTCTTTTTTTATTGTATTATAAATTTAAAACTTAAATATTTAGTTATCTATAATATATTTTTATTTCTTTTTTATTTATAATTTGGACTTTAATTTTTTTAAATATATTATTTATATTTATTTTAATTCTTAATTTTTTAATACGGAAAAAACATATCAAAATAATTTCCTCGCAACATATTACGACGCGTTTACGAGAATTATGTTTCGAAGCTTTTACGAGAAGAGTTTACATGTCTTTTACGAGGAAACCTTACGAAGACGTTACGAGAAAATATGTCTCCACGCTTTATGAGGAAATTAGGAGGAAAAAAGATTTACGATGAACGTGTTACGATAAAACGCTTTTCCTTGTAATCCCCTATATATTAATTGAGAATCATTTAAAAAGTTGTAACCTTAAGTTTGTAATAATTAAAAATAACCCCAATCTTATGTGGCATAGCTCTTTGGCTTCTATTTCAAATCCCAAGGATTCTAGAGCATATGATATAATGTATAGTCTAAAATTTATATTCTTTAGCAATATAATATTTCATAGGCTATAGTTGGTCGCATAAATATATTTATTGTTTTGCATGCTTTCCTTAAATAAAACCTACGGAATTACCTAATGTGATTAAAATATATATATGACAATTAATGATTTTAAACAATAAAGATTTGATAACAATCTGTATATTTTTTCTCATTTTGTTTTTTTATTATTAAAATAAATTACACAATTACATTAATCATATAATAAAAATCTAGATTCTTTTTTTTTGTATGTTGTATTTCGAATTTTTCAAAA